TTTCTGGTTGGGTTTGACTTGAGTGTAATGAGGAAGTTGTCGGGCGAAACTGTTTTCCAGGGCGGCTGAGGTAAGCCTCCTATCTCTGTGGAGCGGAGGTGATTGGGTGGCATAGTGGACGGCCCCTGGATCGGGGCTGTGAGCTCAGCTATATATGACCGTGGCCGAGCATCTCAGAGACACTCGGGCGGTTGGCAGTACCCTCTCCTGGGGCCTCCGGGCCACCATCCCTCACTGGATACGCCTTCTGGCAGAAGGCAGTGCTTCTCAGCGGCCCCACCCAGAGCCCTCTGGCCCGAGGGACAGGAGTGACTTCGTGGTCTAAGGTTGGTAGGACGATCCCCTCTCTGTGGGGGCTGGCGCAGCGGGTGGGTTTTGGGGTTCTGAGAGGAATACAGACCCAGAAGGCAGGCCTGAGTCCAGTCCCAATATTGCCTCTGGGCCCCGTTTCTTCATCTCTGAGCGAGAGCAGGGCTCAGTGATGAGCTCTCAACCCGGGGTCCTGCCAGGAGCTCGGAACTAACCGGGACTGTGAGCTCTGACCCGTCAGGGAACCTCACTGTCTCGGCCTCAGCTCCTCGTTGGCCGGTCGGTGGTGCTCACCGGACTCTGACGTCACGCGCAGATGCAGTAAAGGGACGCTCCCGTCGGTGGGGGCGATGACATCACCTTGGCGGGCTGAGGTTCAGGTTACGGTTTTGGGAGCTGGTCCAAGAACAGGGACACCTGCTGCTGCCCTGACCGGTGGGAGGGTCCGCTAACACCTGGGAGCGGCCTGGGAGCGGGAGGGGTCCAGTGTGGAGGGGGAGGAGACCGCCTTGCCCCCACGGGACTCAGGCCGGGGAGGGGGAGTGTCTCCCGGGAGGCCTGCTCCCTGCCCGTGGGAGGGGGACTGTGACGGACCCACCACTGAGGGGGCGGGGGGGGGGGGGGAGGCTGTGAGCTTGGACGAGAACGGCTTTCGCCGAGGGGCTTAGCGTGCCCTGGGCCGCCTGTGCTGGGAAGCAAAGCTCAGGTGCAGCCCAGGGTGACTGCCTCTGCCTCTGGCGTGTGTGTGCGTGTGTATGTGTGTACGTGTGTGTATGTGTATGTACGTGTGTATGTGTGTGTATGTGTGTGTATGTGTGTGTATATGTGTGTGTATATATATGTGTATGTGTGTGTACGTGTGCGTGTGTATGTGTGTGTACGTGTGTGTATGTGTGTGTGTATGTATGTGTGTGTGTGTGTGTGTGTATATGTGTGTGTATGTGTGTGTGTGTGGGTCACGGTGGGTGTGGGCAGCGGTGTTCTCTCCCTCATGCTCTCCCTCGTGTGAAACAGGCCGTCGCTCACCTCTCAGGCCGTGTGGGTGCGTCTGCATTTACTGGAGGCCCTTTGGCGTAGGGGACAGAATGAAGACGTTAGAATCCAGAAAAATGGGTGCAAACCCCCTCTTTCTGGTTCCCAGTGGGGGAGGGGGTTCTTGGGCAAGTCTCCCAGCCCTTCACAGCCTGATAGACAGGCATGGCGGGGGGTGGGGTGGGGAGAGGTGTGTAGATGAGAGGCTTTCTGGTGCCCTCGGCCGCACCGGGGCGCTGGCCATGCCTGTGCCGCCCGAGTGTCATTCATTCGTCCCTTCCCCAGCACCGAGGGCATCCAGGTCCTGTGGGCGCCGAGGAGCCACCGGCCCCTCCGCTCCCTGGGACTTGGAGTCTGGGAGGCAGAGGCACAGGCGCTCAGATAATTAATCCCCCCGGCACGTGGCTCGGGAGAACAGGGCGCTCTGAGCCCCCGCAGGCTGGCGGAGTGTGCGTGTTCCTGTGACCCGCGAGGGTCCGAGCCCCGGCTGCGGTGACGGAGCACTGGGTCTCCTCCTCAGGCTCTGCAGGGGGGACGGAGGGCGGGGGGTGGAGGGCGAGGCGCTGGCAGGCGCGGTGTTTGGGGAGGGTTCCTGGTTCGTGGACAGCCGGTCGCCGGCTCCCGGTGCCCCCACCTGACGGGCGCGGCCAGGGAGCCGGGCGACTTCATGGGGACGTGAGCTGGTGCAGGAGGCTGAGCTCCCGGCCAGTCACCTCCAGGCCGCCTCCTAACACCATCCCTGGGGCCTGAGGAGTCAGCATGAGAGGGGGCACAGACGCCCCGTCTGCAGCAGTGAGCGTCTGTGGGTGCTGGCCCCGGCCCCCACTATTGGTTATATTCTATGGTGTGGCGTCCGGGGTGGAGGGCAGGGCAAAGGGGTCTGTGAAACAGAGCAGTGAGTCCCCAGCGGGGGAGGGGGGACGGGTACAGAGGAGGGACTGTGTGCCAGGCAGGCCGTCAGGCTCTCCGGGTGCGGGATGCGTCACGTCTGACCCTCGGTCCCGTGACGGGCAGATCACTCGGGCGTTTCTGAGCAGACCGGACTTTGCTCGGAAACCACTCTCGGCCACGGGGATAGACACGCTGACAGGAGCGGCTGGGTTTCCGTGCCGTGAGGGGAGCTGTGTCTCGGGGGGACTGGCTGGAGGAGGCACGTCCTCCTGAACAGCCCGGTCCCCCGGGCGGAGCGGGCCACAGAAGGATGGAATGTCTTGCTCTGAGGGACGCGGGACAGGCAGCCCTTACAGCCCCCATCTGAAGGGGCTCCTCTCCGCTCCCGGAGAACCTGGCGTGTGGGAGAGCAGACTTCTCTGGGCTCAGTCTGAGGAAAACTGGGGAGGAGGACACAGCCACTCTCTCAACCCATCCTAGAGGAGGAGCCGGGAGAGGTGGCTGGGGACCGGGCTGAGCCGGTCAGCTGCCCAGAGGGAAGGAGTTTGCAGAAGGCAGGGTGTGGCCTTCGCCAGTGCTGCAGCCACCCCAGGGAGGAGGGAGAGGAGAGTCCCTAGATTGGGACGAGGAGGCCCTGGGAGACCCTGGAGTCTCTCCTCACTGGGAAGTGCTGTCGCATGGCTAAGGCCGCTCATGGGGGTCCTGCCCCCCTGCCTGTGGGGCTGCAGCCCGCCTCCCCTCCCCCGCCCTCCTCTGGGCTCAGAGCACCGCTGTGCTGGGAGGGGCGGCCGGAGCAAGGCCATCTTCCCCAGAAACCTCGCTGCCCGTGAGGCACCGGTGCTGACTGGAAGCAGCAGCGTGGCCTCGAACGTGGCAGGAGGACACAGTGACCAAAGATTCCGTAGAACGGCAGCTCCGAGAAGACCCCGCGCCTCCTTGCCATGCGCTCCGGTGGGTGCTCAGCCCTCCGTGCCCCGGCCCTGCAGCACGTCAGCGCGGGAAGCAGAGGGAGGGGCTGAGCAGCCACGGGCGTCCTGTGTGCCGGGCTGGTTCTGTGTTTTCTCTGCCAACTCCGTCAGCTGCCCTGAGCACAGGAGCACGCAGGAAAACCAGAGGACCCTGACCCCATCCCGGCAGTGTTTCTGGCTCAGCTGGCTCAGATTGTAAAATCAGACAGAGCTCCGACCTGCCTTTCCCATCTCTCTGGACCACGTGTCACAGACAGGGTTCTGCCACCGCCGCTCGCCTCCCACCCGGCCTTGTAGACCGGAGCGTTCTCCTGCGGGGCCTCCTGCCGCTGGCTCGTCATTACTCCCCAGCCCTGAGCATGACTCCTGGGACGTAGTAGGTGCTTCTTAAGTGTTTGTGGAGAGAAATGAACGAGAAGAAAGAAAGCGATTTTCTCCTGTGGCTTCTTATCCCACCTGCTCTGTATCTCGGGAGCCCAGCCCTGAGGCGGGCCCGGGGCTTTGGGGAAGTTAGCCTGCGCCTCACGCAGGGCACAGGCGTGCCCTGCAGGAGTTTTTTTTGTGTAACGCAGACGCTCCATTTAATGTCTCAATCAAACCTTCCACACTGCCCGGCTGCATTCCGGGCGGGGAACCGGAGGGCCTCGGCTGTAAGAAGGGCCGGGTCCGAGGCGCTCAGTGTGGCTCCTCACACCCCACATAGCGTACAGTTTGCTGTTCGAGTTACACGTTTATTCACGTGTGGCGTAAACAGTTACTGAGGGCCCAGACGCGGGCACGAGGCCTAGCACAGCAGACAAAGGGGCGGGAGAGACTCAGACACAGTTACCCTCCAGGGACAGGTAAGGGGAGGGATGGGCTAATGGGGGGGGGTGCAGAGGGAGGACCTCTATGGGAGGGGGACACTGGAGCGGAGCCTGACGGAAGTGAGGGACGTGGTAAGGCTGTCTAGGGAAGGTCGTTCTAGAAAGAGGGGACAGCCGGGTGAGGGCCTGAGGCAGAGCGGTCCTGAGGGACGGAGAGCAGGGCCGGTGACCGGCCTGAGTGGGAGGTGACGGGGAATGAGACGGTCAGGGTGCAGCAGCCACTGCAGGGCCTCTGAGCGGCGGGGCCATGGGAGGCGGAGAGCGGCCTGCAGTAGCGGGGCTGCAAACGCCAGAGACAGAGGGGCAGGAGCAGCGAGGAGGCGGCTGAGACAGTCCCGCTGAGCGGAGGAGGCGGAGGAGGCGGCGAGGAGCCTCGGTGGTGGGCTGCAGGCTGGCCGTGGTTGGAAGCGCGGCCACAGGCGGTGGGGGTGGGCGGCCGTGGGGGGGGGCGGGGAAGGAGCGGCCACTTCACATCTCTGTCCTGAGCGACTGGAGGAGGGCAGCCGCCATTGGCTGAGCCGTGTGGTGCAACACTCTTAGCCTGTGGGTGGACAGGCAGGTGCTGCCCAGGTCAGATGCGAGCGGGACTGGGGAGGAGGACACAGTGAGATTAGGGGCATGACCTCCTCATGACCTCCTGTGCCTCAGCTTCCTCCTCTGGGAAATGGGGGCAGGACACCCTTCCTCCCAGGGTGCTGAGGAATGAAAGGGGGAGGACAGCTCTGAGAGCCAAGGCTGCTGGCGTTGGGTGTGTGTGTGTGTGAGGGGGGTGGCGGTGGAGAGCACTGGGCGGCATGCAGTCCTGGCAGCCCCCCCCAGGCCCGGCCAGCCTCCCCAGGAGCTGTCTCCCCCCCAGGCCCGGCCGGCCCCCCAGGAGCTGTCTCCCCCCAGGCCCGGCTGGCCCCCCAGGAGCTGTCTGTCTTGGCTGCAGGCGATGGAGCCGAGGGACCCGGGGAAGCCGGGCTCCCAGCGGAGGGCCCGGTCCTGGGACCGAGCGCAGAAGCCCCGGAAGGATCCCGCGTCCCCGGAGGGCCAGTACCTGTGCCTGCCCGCCACGCCCCCCCGGCCGGCGCCCACGGGGAGGGCCCGCCCCGGCGACCGGCACCCCGACGGCCCCGGGTCGGCGGAGGCGCCGGGCGCCGAGGCCCTCACCCCGGCGGCGGCCCGGGAGGCCCTCCTCGGCGAGCAGCGGCCGCCGAGGGACAGGAAGGACAAGGGCCGGGGCCAGCAGGGCTGGCTGAAGACGGTGCTCAGCGTCTTCCAGCGGCCGGGCCCCGAGGAGGCCCAGGCCAAGGCCGCGCCCCGGAAGAAGGCGGACAGGAGGGCCCGCAGGAAGCACAGCCACGGGAAGCACGACAGCCCGGGGGGCCCAGGCCCGGAAGCCGGAGGCCAGGAGGCGGCTGCTGCCTGGCGCCCCCAGGAGGCCCACCGGGGCCCAGGACCCAGGGGTGAGCAGACCTGCCGTTTCTGTGGGAGCCCCATTGCCCACCCAGGGCTGGGCGCCCTGCGTGGCTCCTCCAGCCTCTCAGCAGAGGGATGGGGCAAATGGGACGGGAAGTGGGACGGGAAGTGGGTCAGCTGCAGGAACCCCAGCCGGGAGCTCCCTCAGACCGCTCCACCGCCAACCAGCGGTGTGGCCTGGCAGCCCGTCCTCTCTGAGCCGCATTTTGTTCACCATAAAGTGGAGATGCTGACAGTGGCTGTGCCATGGGGCGGCCGTGCCCAGAGCTGGCAGGAAAGTGCTCCCTAATGAGAGCTGTCCCTGTGAGTGCTCTTGTCCCAGGAGCATGGGCCAGGGAGGCCGGAGGGAGCGAGGGGACACCCCACCCTCCGCTCTGGTCCACAGCTGAGCGCTGGTGGGGGAGAGGGGTGTCAGGGAAGGGGCAGGGCCGGAGCTGGGGCTGGGCCAGGACATGGCTCCATCAGGAGAAGCGCTGTGTGGTCTGGAGCAGGCTGCTCCCCTCTCTGGAGCCTTTGGTTCCCCATTTGTAACGTGAGAGAGTGTCCCGAGGTGCCTCCTTTCCCGCCCTGGCTCCTGGAGCTGAGTGCCCCCGGGCATGGGGAGGGGCCGGCTCTGCCCATGTTTCATGGGGAGAAGAGACCAAGGAGACCCGGATGCTTTGCGGGGGGGGGGGGGGGGGGTCTGGGTTGAGGGAGCCCCATTTTCAAACGGAAACCTTGGGTTTCTGGTGTTGGTTAGGCCCAGAGAGGGCCACACAGGGCCCTCCTGTGGGAATTGGGGGCTGTTTCCTTGGGCCCATGAGCAAAGCCAGGCGAATGCCACGGACATGTCCTCCCCCCTCCCCACCCCCAACTCCGCACGCTTACTTCTGTCCTCTCCCCAGGCGGCGAGGACGCTGACCCCCAGCACTCAGCGCCCGTCGGAGGCCAGGACGCGGGGGCCTCGGAGCCTTCTTCCCAGGCCCCGGGCCGCTGGACGGAGGAGGCGCTGCAGAAGCTTGACCGTGAGTCCGACTGCTGTCCTCCGGCCGCAGCTGGGCCTGCCGGGCCGGCGGGGTGGGGGTGGGGGGCACGGCTTAGGCCTCGGTTGTTCTCTGGGTGCACTGAGCTGCCCGGGGCCTCTGGCCACACTCACTTTAGGGAGCACAGGAATGAGAACGGGCTCTGGCAAAGGTCCTGCTTACGTGCTGGTGAGCATGGGGCTCCTTGTTATTCTCTTTAAACTTATAAAAGGAGTTTAGAAGAGAGGATGGTAGCATTCATGTATTTAGATCTATCAGAGTGGACAGAATAGTGCTAGCACACTCATACACTCTCAGTTGTTAACAGCTGGCCATATTTGCTGTGTGAGTGTGTGCGTGTGTGTGTGTGTGTGTGTGTGTGCATACTTTCATTGCTGAGCCATTTTTAGTAAAATACTGCTTCATCCTTAAACACTGGAGCACAGGCCCCCAGGAAATAAGGACAGTCTCCCACAACCACCCCCTGGCATTGCCCCTAACAAAATCAATGCTGCCCCGTTCGTCTGTTTCCCTGTTCGGAAGGGGTATATGTTTAGGCTGAGAAACAGGAGCTCTCCGTCCATCAAAGGGGAAGCAAAGGCATTCAGCGGCCATTGTGCCAGATGTCCATTTCACGTCTAATTGTTCCTCTCCCGAGAAGGAATCAGCAGGTAGACAGAGCCCAGGAGTAAAAGCCGAGGAGGGTTTCTCAAAGAGAGCGAAGTGAGGGGGAGCAGGGGTTGTCCGGGGGGTAGGGGGGTGGGGGAGAAAGAGTCCGCGGACGCCCTGGGGCCAGCTGCAGCAGCAGGGGCCACTGTGGGCACGCTGTCCTTGCAGAGGGCCTGGGGCAGCAAAGACCACCCTTGATATTGCTTGTGGCTCCTCTGCAGAGACTGGGTAGTAGATGCATCAACTCGGCAGGCGGTCTGACTTGTGGGCTGGATGGAATCTCTCCATCCTCCGACCCTACCTGGGGCCAGGCCGGAACCATTTCAACCGTTTCCCCGGTGGTGTTTGGCAGGTTGGAAGGTCAGCCTTAGCCTTGAAAAGTATTTCCAAGCACAGCCCATCCTCTGGTGGCCTGACAGCCTTCTGAGGGGAGAGGAGCAGGGATGATGACCCACATTTCTCAGGGAGAGACCAAGGCCCAGAGAGGTTAGGAAATGTGCCCAAGGCCGCACAGCTCGCTCAACCCAAGCGGGTATTCTCGGACCTGTGAGCTCTGAGCCACAGCGGCACCGGGTAAGCGTCTGAGGACTGAGGCCTCACGCCTGGCCTGGCACCCTCCCCCAGGCCTCTGGCCGCGCTCAGAGGGAGCCGCCCTGGGACGTGGTGCTCCCGGCAGGTCTGAGGGCGGAGGAGCTGTTAGGGCCGTGGAACACAGGAGGCCCACGCTGGCCTCAGAGTCCAGCACAGTCAGCAGGGAGCCATCTCCGTGCATCTAGATTCACCGGAACCCTCTCTCTTCCAGACGATACGATCATCCAGATGATAGTGCAGCTGCTCCAGGAAGTGGGAGACAAGTGGGATGACGAGGTGAAGAGCCAGGAGAGGTGGAGGACCCAGGGGCTTGATGCTTCCGCCCCCTCTTCCCCATCCTTCCCCTCCTCCTCTTCCTCACTCCCTCTTCCCTCTCTCCCCTTTCTCCTCCTTCTACCTGCCCTACCTGCCCTCCAGGCCATCGGGACTCGGTCGCGCTCTTGCCTGGGGACACCATGTAGCCTTGGGTGCTATTGAGTTGCTTCTCAGGGAGCTCTCCTCTCCCCTCAAGGTCAAGGAGTTTCTCCCGTGCCCCCTGCAACTTCAAGACGAGGGTCCACAAAGCCCAGCCCCCGCCTCCAGGAAGAAATCCCAGGAGAGGAAGTCCAGCCTCAGGGGGTCCTCTTCTCACAAGAAGCCTGGCCCCGAGGAGCCGCGGAGAGCGGGGGCCGCAGCCGCGCCCAGCCCCGAGCCCCGGCCACCCAAGCGGCCCAGCTTCCTGTACCTGTGCGTCGGCGGGGGCCCCCGGGCCTCCGTCTCCAGCAGCGCAGGTGAGCAGGTCACGGTCACCATCGGGCTGGCGCTGGCCATGGAGGGCAGCCAGCTCCGCTGGCCTTGCCCTTCCCTGAGCAGCGTGGGGAGGAGAGGGACAGGGCAGGAGGAGAGGGTGTCAGCGGCACCTCCGGGCAGCCGGCGAAGCCCCCACTGGGAATTGTGTTCAGGGGCCCGCACCGTCCTCACCCCTGCACCCCCACTTCTGCACCCTGGCCGCAGGGGCCGTGCAGGACGGAGGAGCTGGAGGCGGGAGGCCTGGGCTCTGAGCGGTGCCTCCTATGCCGTTCCCCATCTCCGTGCCTCGGCCTCCGCGCCGGTCAAACAGGACGCCTGCCCGCTGTGTGTCTAGACTCAGTGAGCCCTCGGCCATTCTCTTACCTCCATTTCACCAATGGGGGAACTGAGCCTCAGGGAGGTAAAACAGTGTTCAAGGTCACGGCCCATCCGTGATGGAGCCAGAGACAGAGGGAGAGGGAGACAGAGACAAAGGGAGAGGGAGCCAGAGATAGAGGGAGAGGGAGCCAGAGACAGAGGGAGAGGGACCTCCTGGGTGTCGGCGGGGAGCCGCCTAGCAGGTGGTCCTGCAGTGGAATTCATTCTAAAAAGGAGGGCGATGTTTTGAACCACAGAGTGGGTTTTCCTGCAAGGGATTCCGGTCTGAGTGCTGACTCATTCTACGCACTTACCCTCCAACCAGTGGGTCAAGCCGAGCTGGAGGAGGGGGGTGGTCGTGGGGGAGGGAGGTGAAGGAGCACAGCCCGAGAAGCCAGGTGCTCACGTGCAAGGCCCTGCCAGCAGCTCCTCCCCCCTCACTCCCGCTCACTCCCCCGTGGTCTGGCTGCAGAGCGTGCGGTGGAGGCTCTGTAGCGTCTGGGCAGCAGGGAACAGCCTCGAACCAACAAAACACACTCGCCATCTCATTCTGCTCCTCAGACTCGGAAGAACCGGAAGTCCAAGAGGCCGAGTCTGCGGAGTGTGGGGGTCCGAGTCCCTTCGAGCTTCCCCCCCACGCCCACGCCGGAAGCTGGGAGCCCAGAGAGGATGACAAAGCCTCGGAGTGCAGTGAGTCCTGCCTTTCCCGCCGGTCCCTTCCAAACGCCTCTTCCAGTGCAGAGGAGAACTGCACCAGGGAGGCCGCGGCCCGCGGCCCCCGCTACCTCCGAGGTCTGAGCCTCCGCTGTGGAACGCCCTCCTCGGGGGGCGGCCACAGGCGCTTCGAGCTGGGCAGACGGTGTGACTCAGGGTCCGGGTTTGAATGTGGGCTCTGACCTCTTCCAGCCGCATCAGCTTGGACAAGTTGCTTCTTCTCTGGCCTCAGTTTCCTCCTCAGTGTAATGGGGACAGTAATAGTACCGCCCGCACAGAGCTGTCGGACACACTGAAGGAGTGGGTGCCGAGGCAGTGGTGAGAGCAGCTAGTAAACGGCAGCTGCCAGTTGTTGTGATCGCGGTTGTGAGGCTGTTGGGAGCCGCAGAAGCAGAGGACGGGAAGGGGAAGGGCCACAGGAGGAAGCTCAGCCTTCGGCAGCTGCCCCCTGGATTGCTACTGTCTCGTCACTGGGGGAGCTGAGCTTAGAACCAGAATCCTGTCAGTTCTGGGTGCTGAGATCCTCGTAAAGACCTGCTCCGGCCCCCTCTGCCCTGTTTGCTTTTCACAGGGGGTGTGCGTGGAAGGGGGATGGGGAGGGGCCCAGGGCCGGTTTCCATTTCCCTCACTCCTGGCGACACCGCTAGGTCCTCCCTGGGCAGTGATCACCTCTGTGTCCCCTGAAACTGGCTCTGCCCTCGGCCCCGCCTGAGGGGCCTGCGAGTCCCCGTGGGCCAGGACGGGGACAGCCGCAAATACAAGCTCCTCAGCAGCCAGGAGACCGGGTCACCCTCCCAGGCCTCAGGAGATGAAGACTGACCCGCACTCTGCGCTGAGTGTGAGCAGCCGCTCTGCTCTTTTTTAGAAGAATTTATCCAGAAGATCATCGCCCTCCTCCAAGAGGCAGAGGAGCAGGAGGCCGAGAAGGTGAGGAGGCCGTGCCCCGCCTGGACCCTGGCCCTCACCCCGGACCGGGCCGGCTGGCACCATGGCTTCCCGGCCCTCCCCCGGCTCTACATCCCACTGCGGCGCCCTCTCCCGTCCCTGAGCACACTGACTCCTCTCTCTGAGCCGGACGCCCGGGTCCGCAGCGGGGCTGTCTCCCCGGCTCCCGGCAGTTTCCTCAGAGTCGGGGCCTGACCCGGTCTCCCTCGTCTCACCGGCAGCGCCCCCAGGTCGCGGAGCCAGCGGCGGCCTCAGGAAGCCCGGCCCCGCCCTGCAGGAAGAAATCCCAGGAGAAGAAGTCCAGCTTCCGGAAAGCCTTTTCCCACAAGAAGCACAGCTCCAAGGAGCCCAGGAGGGCGGCGGCGGCGGGGGCGGCCGGCCCGGAGCCCCGGCGGCCCCGGCGGCCCACCTACCTGGGCCTGTGCGGCGGGGGCCACCGGCCCTCCATCTCCAGCAGCGTCGGTGAGTGGGCCGGCTGCTGTCATGGCTCCGTCCTGACGTCTGCTCTCTGCTCTGAACAGTGGGGGGGTGCGGGAGGACCCTGGGGAGGAGAGGGGGCGGGTTGCTGGCAGGACCCACCACTCCCCACACCTCCGCATCCCACACACGCACCCCAGCATCTGAGAGCAGAGGTGGCCGGAGAGCAGTGCCTCTGTGCACCGGGCAAGGGCGCCCGCAGCACCGGGCAGCTCAGGCCGAAGCACCTGCCGGGGTCTGAGGGAGGAGGACATGCCCGGGGCCGGGGTCTGAGGGAGGAGGACACGCCCGGGGCCGGGGTCTGAGGGAGGAGGACACGCCCGGGGCCGAGGTCTGAGGGAGGAGGACACGCCGGGGCCGGGTCTGAGGGAGGAGGACACGCCGGGGCCGGGGTCTGAGGGAGGAGGACACGCCGGGGCCGGGGTCTGAGGGAGGGGGACACGCCGGGGCCGGGGTCTGAGGGAGGAGGACACGCCCGGGGCCGGGGTCTGAGGGAGGGGGACACGCCGAGGTCTGAGGGAGGAGGACACGCCCAGGGCCGGGGTCTGAGGGAGGAGGACACGCCCGGGGCCGGGGTCTGAGGGAGGGGGACATGCCCGGGGCTGGCTTTGGGCGCTCCGGGTGTGAGGGCCGAGGCACGCAGTGACTCCCTGGCAGCAGGAGTGACACTCCCTGCCTGGCACACACAGTGTCTCATTTAACCCCCTCACAGCTGTGGCCACTCCCACTGGGCGGGTGGAGACAGCGAGGTCCCACAGCTGAGGGCCTGCAGGGTCACAGGGAAAGAGTTCCCCGGGTGGGACCTGTTGGCAGGCCTCTTGCTTCCCTCCGGGGCAGAGAGGAGGCCGAGGGGTGTGGGCGAAAGAAAGATCTCGGGGGCGGGCAGGTAGAGTGCCCCAGGGGCGGGCCTCAGCCGGAGCCGGTGGCCTGCACGGGGACTCGGTGCACGCACATTCACACCAGCTCCTTTTGCCGCAGATCCGGAGGGTCCGGAGTTCCGGGAGTCCCCGCCTGCGGAAGGGGGACGAGTTGGATCCTCAGAATCACCCTCCCAGGCCGGAAGCCACGAGCCAGAGGGGGGACCTCTGCCGGACGGAGCGTGTGAATCTAGTTAGTACCACCCGCCCTCACCTGGGACGGTGCCCGTGGACTTACCAGGCCGAGCCCAGGGCGGGACTGGAGGGCAGCTGGCGAATACCCAGGAGACCGGGAGGCGGGGGGTAGGGCAGCCCCGGCCAGGGCAGCGTGGGAGACTGAGAGCCTTCTTCCGGCGGAGGACACCAGTCCGTTCCGAGGGATGGAACTTCGCCCCTCCACACCCCTTCCCACCCACCCCACCTCACCCCTCCGCACCCCTCTCCACCCCACCCCACTGGTTTGCTCCAAGGTTTCATTAATTCCTAGCTTGCTCCATGTCCCATAGGGAGAGGTGTACTGGCCAGCAGGCCAGGCGGCAGGGGAGGTGGGAAGGGGGTGTTGAGAAGGGAAGCCAGAGCTGCAGCCTTTGCAGATCTCTGTGGTGTAAACATCCCCACTGCCAGCAGCTGGTAACCAGGGCCCACACCCTCCCTGGCCATGTGCAATGAGCCCTCGGTCTGAGCAAGCCTGCGCACCGCTGCTTACAGCCTGGCCGGTGGGGACGTTCCCGCTCCATCCGTAGCCAGGAAGTCCCTCCCCCTTTCTGGTCCCGGCTCCCATTCCTGAGCCTCTGCTCCGAGCCTGGGTGGGGGACATGGGTGAGGGACATCGGAGGGCCCAGCTTCCGTACCTGTCAAGTGGCTGCAGTGAAGCGTGGCAGCCCAATCCCATCTATTCCCATAAAGCACCGGGCCCGGCTCGCAGGCCCAGGCTAGCTTGGGGAAGACGCTCCCTGCCCTTCGCCCCAACCTGTGCCGTGTCAGACCTGAGGGTCTGTGAGCCACGTGTGACCGCAGGACGTGCCCACTCTTCTTGTCTTCCAGAGGAGCTGGTCATCCAGCAGCTGGTGGCGCTCCTCCCCGGAGTGGACAGCCATTTGGGGGAGCAGGTAAGAGCACTCAGTCCCCCCCAACCCTCCCACACACACTCCCCGGGGCCTCATCAACCCACGGCTGAGACCTGAGCTCACCCCACCTCTGTGTCTGGGTGACCTTGGGCGTGTCCCTTACCCCCTCTGAGCCTCGCTTTCCTCTTTTGGAAACTGGGGGATAAATACCTACTTAGCAAAGTGTAGTGCATGTACAGAAAGCGCCACACTTGTAGCAGATGAGATACAGTTAGTTTAAAATAATAGAAAGCTCGTGGGGCTCCCTGCCAGCCCGGACCACCCCAGCCAAGTCCTCCCCGAAGCTCAGCTCAAGTCCCACCTCCCCGGAACCTCCTCTGAGTCTGGATGGCCTTGCCTGGGGGAACGTCCTAGCGCCCCGTCAGCACCTGTATGACCTCCAGTCAGGCTGTCAGATGTCCCTGCCCTGCTAGAGACCCCCTATGGGCAGTTCCCTGGCCCGGAATCCCCAGTCTCCTGGGAGACACACACCAATCGCTCATCGGGGCTCACTGGGCGGGAGCAGGCCCAGATGAGGAGTCCTGTGCTAGCGCTGTAGGTACCTGACCTCACCGTGCAGCCTGGCCCACCGCCCTCGGCCAGACCGGCATCCCTTAGCCCGAGGACTGGCCCCAGAGCCACGGTGCCACCCCCGTGGTAGGTAAGAATGGACACCCTCCACCTCTCCAGGAGCAGTCCAATGGCTGATGGGAGCCGGTGGCTACACGCCCCAGCCCCTCGCTCGGGGTGGGCTGGGGCAGAACTTGGAGGAGCTGGTTTCTTGAGTGCCCGAGGGGCCTGCTGGGCTGCTCTCCCATCAGTCCCAGCTCTTCATTTCCCATCAGTGTTTCCCCGGTCACTTCCCGCGTAAGAGAAAGACCTGTCTCTGCGAGGCCTCCCGGGGAACTCAACGTGAGACATGTAGGCAGTAAGAGGAGGAAGCTCAGGGTGGGAACTAAAATTCATCGACGTCTAGGCCGACACACCATTTTCATAAACCACCTCATCAACCCCTCCCCCAAACAATCAGGGCGGGGCGTCAGCCTCCCATTTCCCGCAGACAAGCAGAGGCTCCGAGAGCTCACAGCCCTAGGTGCGGTTACACAGCGCTGTCCGGGGCCTCCCCCCTCCCCCCGGTGGTCCTGCTGTTTGCAGCTGGACCTTGCAGACAGTCTGAGCGGCTGTGGGAGGCGGGGGAACAACGGAACCCAGAGCATCTCCCAGGGACAATGAGGCGGCCGCCTGGCTGCAGGGAGTGGAGGGGAGGCCGTGGGTGGGAGGGCCCCCTGCCAGCAGCACTGATGGCCCGCCTTCCTTTCTGCTTCCAGATCAGGCGACACCCCAGCCTTAAGAAGTTTCTCTACCAGCTCCCCGACTCGTCCCTCCGAAAGCTGGCGGGCACCCTGCACAGACGGAGCGCCGGCTGCCCCGCGCTCCGCAGGGGCCTCGCCGAGAGGCCCTATCAGTTTGCCTTCGACTTGGCCAACAAGTTTGCTGGCAGCAACGGTCACACCACCCTCAGCCTGATGGGCCTGCGCTACCCCCAGCGCCCGCACACCGAGGCCCCGCAGGTGAGACAGGGCGATGTGGCGCAAGTGACGGAAAGACTGACAAGGTCGGGGTCACGACAGGATCTGCTCTCTGTCCCCTCCCTCCCTCCCTAGTTCAGGACTTTTGGGGTCCAGCTGAAATGCAACCTCCTTGCAGAGGCCTCTGAGACAGGTCTACACCACCGTGACCTTTTTCTTTCCCCAAACCCTCATCGCTTTACTTGATAATTGGCATCTTCTTTATTTGGCCCCGGTCTCTAACTGTGTGCATTTCCATACTTTTGTTAAAGGAATTTATCTTTAAAAAAAATTTTTTTTTAATATATATTTTTTGTTGATTTCAGAGAGGGAGAGAGAGAAACATCAATGATGAGAATCATTGACCTGCTGCCTCCTGCATGCCCCTTATTGGGGATTGAGCCCACAATCTGGCCAGGTGCCCCTGACTGGAATTGAACCCAGGACCTTCAGTCCTTGGGCCAACGCTCTACCCACTGAGCTAAACCAGCTAGGGCTTTAAATATGTTTTTATTGACTTTAGAGAGAGAGGAAGGGAGAGATAGAAACATTGATGAGAGAGAAACATCGATGATCAGCTGCCTTCTGCACATCCCCCGGACATGTGCCCTGCCTGGGAATCAAATGGCGACTTGGTGCATGGGACAACACTCAGCCAACTGAGCCACACTGGCCGGGCCACTTTCATGCTTTTTGATGTCAGCATGGGATATGGGCCTGGCTGCTATCTTAGCTTATCCTCTTACTATCCCACGGGTTTTGCTGCGTGGCTTCTCAATCTGAGTCCATCATAAAATTGAAATAACGACGCAGGGTAAGATTGCGTATCAGTCAACGGCGGGAGGGCTGAGGGCCCGGAGCCGCTCCTTCGCAGGCCTGGGTCCTTGATTAGCAGCCTCTCCCCTGCCCCACGCTCACTCTTCCGATTGCCTCATGCCTCCCCCTCCCCCAAGACGCTGAGATTTCCATTTAGAAATAATACTCACTGCTGATTTCTTAAAGTCTGAGTTTTCACGTGTATTCCAGAAGACTCAGATAAAGTTTCCCCAATCCTTTCAAATCCACTTACCTAACCTGCTTACAAACACTGGACCCCGATCTGTAGAGCAGAAGCTACTGAATGAGGGTGTGACTTTAAAAGAAAGAAGTGTTTGTTGGTGTTGGACACACAGAACCAGAACTTCCACATCCCGATGGTCCCTCCCCGCCCACATGAGCGCTCCCCGCACCCCCCCCCCCCCCAGAAACCTGAGTGTCATAGAAATGTTGTCCCCATCACTCAGACACTCTGTCTTCCTCTCCTGGAATTAATTACCCTTGGAAGCCACGTGCTACATCTTCCAAGCTACAGATATTTGCAGCTTGTTATTCAAATGCTCTGCCCAACATTGGCTTGTTCTCCCGGTGAGAACTCCTTGTGACTTCACACCTCTCCTTTCCCAGCCTTACCGTCTTCTCCCGAGAATGGGGACATTACAGGTCATTTGCTCTCTAAGATGGCCTGGGTGATAGTTTATAGAGCGCCTTGGTTCTTTGTGGAAGATGTTAGAAACATCAGTTCTGACATCCTCAGTAGCCCGAATTCCATCCTCTGGTTTTATCATTCGTTCACTCATTCATTCATCCACTTATCCATTCAACCAGTAGATGGTGTGCAAGGTGTGTGAGGGCCTGTGGAAGGTTCTGCTAGTGGAAAAGGCAGTCTGGTCCCAGCTGACAAAGTTAAATATCAATTAAATGCCAAATTAGTGGTAACTGAGACAGATAAAGCAAGTTGGCTCGGGGAGACTTCCTGGAGGTGGCAGGCACTGATTTTTACTTTCGAGGACGGAGGGGCTGAGGATGGGGATAAAGGACCAGAAGGACATGTGGGCAGAAGGTACCGTGTGAGCAGAGATCCAGAAGGGAGCTGATGTGGTGCGTTGATGAGTTAAGGGACGTCTGTTGTTATCGGAGTGGAACCCATAATAACTGGGCTCTGGCTACACATATGTTCTTTTTCTCCGCAGAACATCACAAGTCTCAACTTCCTAAGTCCAGATTGAAAGCTGTGCCTTGCACTCAGGTGCCGTTGAACTAGCCAAACAGTCGGTGGCTTTACAGGAGACCCTGGAGATGCTCCAGGATTGTCCCGCCCCGCTGCTTCCCAGACATGACTGCAGACAGAGGACAGCCCCTCCGTGTCCTCACATCGCCGTGGGCTTCAGTCTGAGGACGAGAGGCAGGCACACCACACTGGGAGAAACAGGAGACGCTGGACTGGGAGCTAGGAGATGCTTCAAACTTGCTGCAAGGCCCCGCATGTCCCTGTCCTCGCAGACCTTGGGTTCCGGGTGGAGATGGTCCACTGTGTCTCCTCTGGTTCTGGGTTCCGAGACCTGTCTAAAGAGGGGTGGTGAGTGCTTTTACGCTGCGGCTAAACATAGCCTCTCCACTGAGCTGGAGGCACTCGCCAAGGGAATGAATGAATGAGTGAATGAATGAATGGACAAAAAGGCAGAGAACGCCTAAGATCCAGGCAGCTTGTTGGGCATTCCTGGAGGCCTTGCTCCTCAGCTGGAATTGTACAACCAGCGGTTCTGTCTCTATGCTTTGGGGGCGGGGGGATGGGGGAGCCAACTCAACAAGACAAGCACCAGACTGGAGTCTGCATTCTGGGGACAACCCTGGTGCCGACTTGTGCCCTGGAGTGTCTCCTGGTTTTCACTTTCATTTAAGAGTTACCAAGTCCTTAATCTTTATATATATATATATATATTCCCCCCCCCCCCCCCCCCGGACATGTATTTTATGGATCCACAGAGCTAAAAGTATGACCACTATCATCTAGGACACCCGCTGACATTTTTTCAGATGCTAGCTCTAAATGGGTCTTAGTTTCCCTCTCACCAGAACGTCCACATGCAATTAGACAGACGTGCCTCTATGTGCAACACACCATTCATTCAGCTGACAGGGCCCACAGGGACTGGTAGACGCCACCTAGGAGCTCTGAGGCCAGAGAGGGAAGACCTGTGCCCTGGGGATTGCTGGTCTGACCTGCCAGCCCATCCCTGTAACGCTGCAGGCAGAGCAATGAGGCCGGCGCCTGGCAGCTCCCATTTCATGGGCGTTTGCCGAGGGTGAGAGAGAAGTGAGTGCGAAAGATCTGAAGGTGACCCAGTGCCTTGTCCGCTATGTCATCTTCAGATGTTGTTGTGATAGCCGTAGTGCGGCAGTTTGCAGGAGACGGGGCGGGTTCCAGCTGGCTCACCATGGGCTGCAGGGAACCTGCCTGCTCAGGGGCACCGGGCCCAGAAGTGCTAGTCCCCTCCGGGCATTTGTGGATCCATGAGGACAATTTTCCAGCCCACACAGGGCCTTTTTTTGTCCAAAGGTGAAGTGTGGGCCTTCAAGAGCTCTGCCTTCTACACAACTGAACCGTTTCAACAGCGTGGCCACGTGCCATCGCCTACCTGGCTGCCCGCAGGGCTGTGACCACAGTCTGGTCAGCACCCGGAGCACCGGCCACGGCCACGGGGAGGGCTGCTAACACCTGGGTGGCACACTCAGTCCTGTCGATCCTGAGCCCCGGGGGTGGGGCTGGGGTGAGAGGCCCCGGGCAGAGAGGCCGTGGTGTTCAGATGGGACTGACCCCAAACCTGAGGCAAAGTTTAGGAACCACAACTAATCACACTCTGGAAGTCATTTCTTGTTACTGCTGCTAAGAAGGGGTGGGGGGCGGGGTGGTGAGCTATTTATGGGGTTATGTTAGGTGGTGCGGAGGATACGGCACCACATGTGAAGGATGGGGATCCGTTTTAAGTGGGGGTCAGGAACCTCCCACTCGTAGTTTCTTATCTGTAAGCTGTATGAGCATTTGGTATGAGCTCCTGATGCTGGCATCTGACTCATTTTTGTACTGTGTCATTTGGACAAATAAAGAAACAACTTTATTTAAGGTCTCAGGTGGATCATTCACATGGAGACAAGACCGGGGCCCACGGGCCTCATCCAGGCCCGTCATGGGGTTCAGCCTCCTGGTCCAGCCTGGGCCCTGTCTGGACGCTTCCCAGGTGTCCCATCCTTGGGTGCCACCTGGCTGAGGCGGTGACAAACGTGCTCCGGGCTGGGCCTTGGGCGGGAGAGGCTGCCCACAGGCTGATGACCTTGGACATGAGACACTTGCCCTCCAGACCTGACATTCCTCTGTGGCTCTCGGGGGACAGGTCATTGTTACGTCCAGGAAAATGTGGGCCAGGCCTCGTTCTCAATCACCTGTTTCACCCGTCCTAAAATTCTGGGGCCCAAAGTCTGTCCCTCAGAACCAGGAGAGAAGTGGCAGAGCCCAGGGCCTGGTTTGGGTCTGGACATGGGGTCTCCTCCTTCCCCAGCTCAGAGCACATGGGGGTTCTGTCCGTGGCTGCTGGGGAAGGCAGCCCTGTGGTGTGGTGGCCTGTGTTCTTTCCAAACCACATTTCCATCCCCCGAGCCCGGGTGCTCATGGGGATGCTATGTGGAGGAAGGAGAGGGGAGTACTTGTATCCTAAGGCTCAGAGTGGGCGGTGCCTTGTTCAAGGTCACACAGCCAGCTGCAGACAGGCCAGGATGCAGCTCTGAGATCCCCTGTTTTACTCCCCCCTCCCCCCGCCTTGCTGTCTAACCCAGCGGTCGCCAACCTTATGGACCTCTAACCCATTACCTCATCTACCAAACCACCGAGCACTCACCATGGGCCAGGGCGGATGCAAAAGGCACAGTCCCGCCCTCGGGATGCTAATGGACCTCGCTGGTTAGGGGGCTCCATGCCATTGGGAACACGGGGTGCTGGACCCCGTATGAGGGAGGGCCTCCCTCAGCTCAGACCGAGGAGCTCTGCAAGAGCCCTGCAGTGCATGGAGGCCCTGCTGCTCTGAAGCTTCTGAAGGTGGGCAAGTGACGTCAGGACATAATTAGCCCAACGCCTCACCCCGAGCCGTCAGGAGGCTGAGCGGGTGAGTCCGAGGTAGCGGGGTCATCGGAGAACTGGTCGAGTTCGGGGTGTTAGTCAGTCACAGAGGGCCGCACCGCCGCTGTCATTCAGATTCGCTTATTTGGAAAACCAGAGTGTGCTGGCCTTGGCCTTGGCACCAGAGAGACCTCCCAGTTTCAAAGCAGGGCGGCTGGCTTAAAAAATAAAAAAATCCATTTGTGTGTGTTTTTTATTGTTTTTGTTTTTAAAAGCATAAGAAGGAGAAAGGAACTAATTAGCAAGCAAAAACATGGTGGCCCTGTTAAATTTGAATTTCAGATATACAAAAAATAATAATAATAATAATTGCAATATTGGGGACATACTTATACTAAATAAATATTCATGATTTATCTGAAATGCAAATTTAACAAAGCTTCCAGTGTTTTATCTGGCAGCCCTGAAACTAATGCAGGAAGAATTCTCTTGATTACCTCAAAATGGGGGAAAAGGAAATCAAGCAAAATGAAGGAAATATGCAAGGGGACTTACTGGTGCTTGTAACGGTAGCATGGGAGCAGCTGGGCTCTGCATCCGAGCTCTGAGCTAAGCCAGCAGGTACGAGCCTGTGCAGGTCTCCCTTGCACACCAGGGGCACACTCTCCTGAGCTGTGCAAACAGGATCCCCCACCCACATCCCCCCAGGCTCAGGCCTCTGGGCCCAGCCACCTGCACAAGGAAAGGCCGGGTTCCCAGAACCGCTCCTGGGCCACAGAGCCAGGCGGGCAGGGGTCCACACGCCTGAGACTGGACTCTGCTCAGGCCTCTCCCAGGCACATCCGGGTCCTCCAGGCAGAAGCTTCGGAGGAGGCTCGAGAAGACTTGTGGTCCCCAATGTGGTCCCCGTTACACGCAGGCTCCACCAGGGCCTCCTTCCATCAGCCCCGCCCCTCAGGCTAAATCTGCCCCGTCCTCCTGGTGCCCAGTCTGATCAGGGCCACTTCCACCCAGCCCCTGGGTTCGGGGTTCGGGGACCTGTTAGGCAAATGCGTCCGAGGCCTCGGACAGCCTGGGCTTCCTCACCGGGCCTGGCCAGGGCTGGAGGTCACGCCCACCCAGGGCTGGAGGGGCTGGTTTTTCAGGACAGGCTGGGGAAACTGAGGCTGAAGGTGTCTTTCTTGTGGAACCTTTCCCTTCCGTGTGAACAGCGGAGTCTGTCCTCATTCGGGCCGGGGGAGGGGGACGTCTGGCCCGTTTCCTCTAAAGCCATCCACTCAGGGGGCAGAGCCGCCAGCCTCACTCGCTGCCCCCCGGACCCCGGAGCCCGGGGGCGGCTGCCACCACAGCTCCATCGCGGGTTCCAGTGGCGGCCAAGGCGGCGGCCAGTCCGAGTGGAGCCTGTAGTTGGCTGTGTGAATGGAAAACAAAACTCGGGAATGTGCTTTCCTGACCCACAGGAAACAGGGAAGTGTCCATGGCTCAGCCCTGCTGGGCCCTCCAGAGTTTTGCCCCTCGGACTCCATCCTGTGGCTGGGACCCAGCTGGCCCAAGCAGGCCGGGGTGGGAGCAAGGCGCCCCCCCCCTGCCGGGGCCTGCTAACAAGGGGGCTGCGCTGCATGCTCCCCAGTTCCCGTCCTTGTCCGCCCCTCGTCCGCCCGTCTGTCCAGAGCAGGTAGTGGAAGCTGAGAGGATGTTGAGACAAGAAGGTGCTCAGGACCCTCTACACCAACAGGCCTGAGAGTGGGTCCCCCTGGTCCCCCAAAGGCGGAGGACGAGGGGACAGCGTCTGAGAACAGTGGGAGAAGGCTCGGCTGGGCGTCAGGTCCTCTCCCGTTCCAGCTCCAGTTCTCTCTCGCGGCTCACAGCTTCCTGGGGAAAGGAGACAGACTCGTCACCGTCACCGTCACCGCTGAGTCCCTCGCCTCAGACCTCCCTCCCCGGCGCCCACGGAGGGCATTCCCCCAGCGGCATGCCCTCAGGCGCCCTGGGCCCGTGGCCAGCCCCACCGGAGCTGCCTGACGCGTCCAAACGGAAACTCTCCCTTCACCCCCGGAGCCCGTCAGAATGTCACTCGTATACAAGGTCTCTGCAAACGGAGATCCCACTGCAGAGCAGGAGTCACTAGTGTGTCAGACATCCCTGCATTTACAAGTCCCGTTAATGTTCGGGTTTTCCGGGAGGGGGAGACGCACGCTGCCCAAGGACACGCTGCCGAGCCGTATGCCACACGTTACTGTGCTGCTTCCTATGCTCTGTCGCTTGTGTGTCTCTCATGCAGATGTCTAGCAGACAGCACTCAATTGTTCCAACAAAAGCAGTGTGTTAGGACCACCTTCCGGCAGCTGGCAGTCAAGTTCTATGGAAGGGATGCTGTTTGCTTAGCACAGACATTGCATGGGCTAGTGTTGGCCTTGACTGCGGGGCGGGGGTGGGGGTGGGGGGAGGGGCTGGGTTGAGTGTGCTCAGGGGTCACACAGCACCCTGGGGCAGGGCCACCTCGGGGAGCTCCACACCTCGGGGCTGCTGCATTCCTGGATCCCGCTGGGGCGAGGCCTGCAGGTGACCCACACAGTCTTGGGCGTGGAGAGCACAGAGCTGTCGGGTGGGCAGGGAGCAGACCTGGGTGCGAGAAGCCAAGGAAGCACACGTGAGAGGAAGGGAGATGGGAAGACCTGAGTTCCAAACGCTCCTCTGCCCGCTGAGTGACCCTGGGCAGGCCCCGGCCCGCTCCGGGATGCTGCGGGAAGACCTGCTGAGCCCCCTGGAGAGAGGCCGTGTGAGCGTGCCTGTTCCTGGGCGCTTTCCGGTCTGACTGTGCCATCCTGGTGTTCAGGCACGGGCAGAGCCCAACCTCCTCGGCCGGCACCCGACCGCCACGTCTCCTGTGCACCTCCGAGTGCAGCCCAGCCTCTCCCTCCAAAAGGGAGAAACAGGACAGGACCTGCGACTCCCGACTCCGACCCCAGCTCTGGAGGCTACGTGGGCGGTCAGCACCTGGTGACAGACACCTGGGTGCGGATCCCAGCTCTGCCTCCGACCAGCTGGGTGGCTGTGGGGATGTTACCTAACCTCTGGCGCCTCAGGGCTAGAGCACAATCACTGCCATAGAATTGCAGCTGTTATTGCCACATTCATGTTTGAACAGGTGGACGTCCCACAGTAACTCAGGGGAGAGGCTCTCGAGTGGCGGGAATCTGGGGAGTCGGGCAGACTTGGTAGCAATTAGGGAGATCTGAGTAGCGAGATGGACCTCTTCCCGTTCTACTTGCAGCCTGCAGGCAGTCTCTGTGTCCCCGCTTTCCACGTGGAGGCCAGCTACACACCTGGTGAGATGACCACTGACCTCTCCTGGACAACAGACCCGGCCAGCAGAGGAAAGCCATGCTGATACATGTATCTGGCCATGCTCAGAGAAGGACAGTTCTGGCAACACTCCTGGTCCCTGCCCTGAGCGGTTGGCTCAGTGGATAGAGTGTCGGACTGCAGACTGAAGAGTCCCGGGTTTGATTCCAGTCAGGGGCATGAACCTTGGTTGCAGGCACATCCCCAGTAGGGAGTGTGCAGGAGGCAGCTGATCGATGTTTCTCTCTCATCAATGTTCCTAACTCTCTATCCCTCTTCCTTCCTCTCTGTAAAAAAATCAATAAAATATATTAAAACAAACAAACAAAAAGAAACCTTTGGGTCCTGGGATGAAAGGGCCAGGGAGCAGGCTTGACCCCAGCCTGGGGCCTGAGTAGAGCTATTCCGTCCAACCCACAGGCCCGGAAAGAGAAAAGCAAACGCTGGCTTTGTGATGCCTCGAGATCTGGGGTCGGTCGTCTGTTCGGCTGCATTATCATAGCCCCAGCGACCGACTGACACAACGGCATCGCCGTGCGTGCGGAACCCTCTCGTAGCTTTCATTCTAGCCTCTCTGGTTTTTGGTGGGAGGGACCGGAGCCACACAGGACTGGTCCCTGGGTGTGACGGTGTCCCTGTGATTGTAGGTTGGGAGAAATTGAGCAGACCACGCCTCTTCTCTACGGCTGACATTTCTGAGCTTCTCTTTTCTGCGCCCTCCCGGTCTCAGAGCTCCGAGCGGTAAAGCCGTGTGGGATTACGTCAGCCCAACTGCTGACCTGCCTCCAGGCAGTTTGATAACCTGCTCAGTAAGAGCAGCTCTGCAGACAGAGCAGCTCATGGGCCCCGACCACGGGTCTCCCTGTTGTTTGTCTGTCTCACTCCAGCCGCCTTTACATAAAGCACCTTGAGTCCTGGAAGTTGGTCAATGGGCAGCTCTGGCTGAGCTGCATCGTTCCCGCTGCTCTGACCTGCGGGGAGAGGCCTGGCCCGGGAAACAAGGACCCGAGTGGGGGCTGGCTCCCAGATGGCACTGCCACACCCCCTGCAGACCTGCCCACGTGCTCACGGTCTGAGCTTCTGGGACAGATGCAGACACTCAGGTCAGGAAGTCTTGGAGTTGGACATCAAGGAGCAGAGTGAGAAGAATCCCAGGCTGCACTGGCCCCTCGGCCACCAGGGGCCGCCAGCTGCTTGCTGGGTCCTGAACCCTCCCTGCCCAGCCAGAGGTGCCTGGGGGTCTGCCGGCTCCCTGTGGCCGTTCTGAGAACCTCCTCCCCACCAGGCTGCTTCCCACCGCCCACCAGGCTCCTGCCACCCCAATCCCTCTGCCCCACTAGGAACCCCTCCCAGCAGGAGCAACCGGGGAGGACGTCCCTTAGAATGGCTTGAGATTTTTATTTTCTGAGCTATATATATTCTTTTTCTTTTTTTTCTGAGCTTGAAGAAAATTAAATAGCAGTGCAGGTCTGTTCCTTTCAGAAAATACTTTGATAATCCAGCAAAGTAATTACAGGTGATACCAGCTTGGTTTGTGTTTGAGGCTGGTGTTCGGGATTTGCCAGGGTGTATGTATGGACACATGTGCCTAAAAGAGAAGCTTGGTAAAAAATAAAATATCAAATAAATTAAATTAAATTAAAATAAAATAAAAATAAAATAAAATAAATAAAAATAAATAAATAAATAAAGTAAAATAAATAAAATAAAAATAAATAAAATAAAAATAAATTAATTAATTAAATAAGGCTGGTTTCTATGGGGCTCATAGTTCATCAGATCAGGTTTTAGTCTTGCCTTTGGCCTGAAGTTCCAAGTTCAAGAGAAGCGCTTGAAAGTTGGGGATTGAGTTTAATTCACCTTTGACTTCCCCAGAGCCCAGGAGAGTGCTCAGTACTTATTGGGTGCTCCGTAAATGTCCATAATTAAATCAATGACAATATAATGCAGTCAAGAAGCTGTGAGAAGCCGGCCTACGCGGGCGAGGGCTGTTAGCTGTAGGGTGGGAACAGTTACTCTACATGCTGAGCGTCACGTGGGCATCGACCTGCCTGGTGGATGGCGTTCTCTCCAGGAGCTGAGAGGCAGCTGGCCACCTCGGAGTTATGGAACCTCGGCGTCTGCTAGTTATGGCGGCGGCTGCTGCACGCCTTGCTCCGCGCGAAGCAACGTGCAGAGCTGACCTCACCAAAGGCTCCCTGAGCGAGGCCGTGGCAGACCTCGGATCCATGCTGGGTGCGTGCTATTCCAGAGCCCAGCTCCTGACCCCGCTCCGGACCCCCCTCCAGCCCTGTGATCTCCCTGCAGCCCTGCCTCTGCTCCTGCCCGGGGGTAAGAAACGTTAGCCATGCTCACTGCGCTTTGCCGCCCGGCCTTTTGGGTTGTGGCTGCCTCGGGAAGCCTCTCCTGGAGCCACTGGTCTTTGGTTTGTTCTTCTTGAACGCCTTGGTCACCCCGCTGGAGGCTCCGGCAGGGCTCGCCCTGGGCAGAGAGAGGCGGGCGGTTAGTGACCGTCCCGCGTCCCCTCAGGGCCCTGCTCCGGCGGAGGAGGTGCAGACACACCGGAGCGCGGCTCTCGGCCCGGGAGCGTCGGAGTTCCCAGCGGCCTTTACTTTGTAATCAGTGAGTATTTGTCTGAGCAGCATGAAACTCTAACTTTTATTTTTTTTTTATTATTTTTTAAATATATTTTATTGATTTTGTACAGAGAGGAAGGGAAAGAGACAGAGAGCCAGAAACATTAATGAGAGAGAGTCATCTATCAGCTGCCTCTTGCACAACCCCTACTGGGGATATGCCCGCAACCAAGGTACATGCCCTTGACCGGAATCAAACCCGGGTCCCTTCAGTCCCCAAGCCAATGCTCTATCCATTGAGCCAAACCGGTCTCGGCCAGAAACTCTAACTTTTATATGGTTACATGTCAAAGCAATAAAGTGTAAATCATGTGAACAAAATGCATGATTTATGCCCAAGCACAAAATTATTAAATGTATGCAAACTCTGCCCTGCCAGTTTGGCTCAGTGGATAGAGTGTCAGCCTGCGGACTGAGGGGTCTGGGTTCAATTTTTGATCAAGGGCACATGCCCGGGTTGTGGGCTCCATCCCCAGTAGGGGGCATGCAGAAGGCAGCCAATCAATGATTCTCTCTCATTGATGTTTCTCTTCCTCTCCTCCCTTCCTCTTTGAAATCAATAAAAATATATATTAAAAAATTTATGCAGCCATTCAAAAAGTTTTATAATTGAAATTACAGTGGGAGAAGGAACCGGGTCTGTTTTAATGTATTTGCTCTGACATGACATGGAGGGGCAGCATGAGGAGCAAGGGGCCTGCTCTCCCAACCCCTGCAGCTGTGGCCAGAGAAGCCCAGCCTCCACCAAGCTGCCCAGCGGCAGGGAGGGGTGAGGCTGAGGGGAGTGCCCCGTCCACCCTCTGACCTCCTGCTGCTGCCTTGTCCTGGCTCACATATTGCTTTCCAGCCAGTGAGGGAGCCCGGGAGCTTTAAAATATAGAGGTCCAGCCGAAACCGGTTTGGCTCAGTGGATAGAGCGTCGGCCTGCGGACTGAAAGGTCTGGGTTCGATTCTGGTCAAAGGCATGTGCCTTGGTTGCAGGCACATCCCCAGTAGTGGGTGTGTAAGAGGCAGCTGATCGATGATTCTCATCGATGTTTCTAACTCTCTATCCCTCCCTCTTCCTCTCTGTAAAAAATCAATAAAAATATATATATTTAAAAAAATAACAAATAATTAAAAAAAAGCATAGAGGTCCCCAGACCCCCTCGGAGCGACTGCAAAGATAATCACGGAGACGCATAACACCACCCCGACCGTGGATGTGTGTCACAGAAAGGTTCTCCGGGGCCACCGCAGCACGGGAACCTAGCTCCCTGTCCTGCTGCAGCAGGAGGTGTGTGCAGGCGGCCCCAGTCCACAGCGCAGCGGCTGCTGGGGGGAGGCAGCCCGCCTGCCAGTCTCTCTGCGGGAGAGGGTGCTGCCCGGTGCGCAGGGCAGGGAGCCAGAGAGAGTGGCTCAGTGAGAGGGTGCTGCCCGGTGCGCAGGGCAGGGAGCCGGAGAGAGTGGCCCGTGGGCGTGAATAAACCCCTTCCCTGCGCCTTGTCCCCCCCGAAGAAGACAGAGGAGTGGGGCTCTGTAGCCACACACACTGGAGGAGGACCCAGGCCACGGGGTGGAAGTGCCCCTGAGCTTTTCCGTCCGAGGGAAGCAGGCTCTCAGCGCAGGGCCCTTACCCGGCGGCATCCGGCCGGCTGCCCGTCTCCTTCCCATCCGCCGGGGGCGCGGAGCTTCGCGGACTCAGAGAGGCCAGAGGAGCTGCAGCCACAAGGAAGAGGCAGGAGACAGGGGTGAGGGGGCGTGCGGGGGGCTGCTTAGTCTTTTTTATTTTTATTTTTGTCACCCATCACGTCCCTGGCCTGCTGCTCAGCCAACAGGAGGCCGGGCATTTCGTGAACAGCACGGAGGCCGGGGAATTTCCCATCAGGCAGAAGCTGCTGTCTGTACTAGAGCGTTTTCCTCTCTCTGACCTCCCTCAGGGCAGCCTGCTGTCCCCTCCCCTTCCCCGTTTTAAAGAAAGACCCAGCGAAATGAAACGACCAAGTTTTAGACAGGAGCCGAGGGAAGACCAAACCCTTATGTAACCCTAAATCTTAAAACATGAAAAACAAAACAAATCTGTCTCCATTTCTATTTTACTTTTAAAAAAAATTATATTTTACTGATTTCAGAGAGGAAGGGAGAGAGAGAAATGTCACTGATAGAATCATTGATTGGCTGCCTCCTGCATGCCCCCTCCTGGGGATCCAGCCCACAATTTGGGCATGTGCCCTTGGCTGGAATCGAACCTGGGAGCCTTCAGTCCGCAGGCTGACACCCTATCCACTGAGCCAAACCAGCTGGGGCCGTTTTACTTTTTGCCAAAGTTTTCCTCTTTTGTCCTGAACTGCCTGGGCTGTTGTGTCTTCCTCGTTTTTTGTCAGTGTGAACCTGGAAACGGACGAGGTGCTAGGTAGTGCTGCCCAGTGGTTAGCAGCGTGACATTGCAAATGTTTAGTCTTTTTTGTTATAATAATTGGAAGTAAGCGAGGGTGTTCGCAAAGAACAGCGAACTGTCTCGTCCTCAAATTCTGACCTGTGCGACCAAAATCTTACTGTGGCCTTGCTGCAGCGGAAGGCTGAGGCTGACCTCCGTGTCCCATCACCTCGCCCCTCACGCGGAGCTGCCGTGCGAGGGAAAGTGCGGAAAAACCCCCAGGGCCCGGACCTTCCATCACCCGCTCCATGCGCTGCTTTTCTCGTGTTTTTAAACAGAAAACATTCATGGTTTTATGACTATGCTCTTCAGTAAGGGTACTGCATGTTTTCAGAGAGTGGATAGATATAAAATATGAAGATTAACATGTAGTTATGTAACACATGTAACTGAAAATAACAGGGAATCTGTTTAGATCCCCGTACCGGAGGTTCCTTCATTTGGGGGGTAGATATCGCAAATCTATTAGCAGTTTCTATGTTGGGGGATTTTCCTACAGCTTCTGGCAACACCCACCCCGGCCACATGGCCCTCCCTGCAGGACTGACAGCACTGAGCCGGGGGGTCCCTCCCTGCCCAGCTCCCTCCGCTGGCTTAGGTGTCACCGCGGCTCGGCGGAGGCAGCATGGGGTCTGGCCTCAGCATGACTGAGTGAGGGCTGTCCTGTGCCCTGTGCCCTGTGCCCGCAGGAGGCTCCGCAGCCTCTGGCCTCCAGGCATTGCCACGTCTCCTGGGTGGTCGCCCCGCTGAGAACCCCTGGGCCTCTGCCCACCCCCAGGAGGAGGGAGGATGCCGGATGGCTCAGGCACCCGAGGACGGCCACCTTTAGGCACAGGGGTGATAGTCAAATAAATGCATTTTATTTAACAGGAAATAAGAGCATGTGAAGCACCTTGACCAATTTTCTGACTTTTAATGTCCTTACATTTTATTCTCATTGATAATGTGCTACTGTTTACCCTGATACTGTGGATGTCTGGCTGGTGGACCATAAGTTGGACCAGAAATTCCCTTCATCCTATGATCTGGGCCCTGTCCCTTTGCCTCCCCCATGCCCCTCCCCTTCCCCAGCCATCCATGCAGCCAAGCACATATCCTCTTCGTCCCGAACGTACTTTGCGTTTTCCTGCTTTGCACCCAAGCTTCTAGAATAAACAAAACCTGACCTGCTCATCCCATCCAATCCCACACACAGACCAGGACGGTCAGTATCCCGCCCACGTCACCCACTGTCGCCTCCCAGAGCCTCCCCGCCTCCCCGCGAGCAGCGGTCTCACTCTCCAGGAACCCCGCAGCAGGCCCGGGACCTAATCTGTGTCTTGTGTTTGAGCTGGTTTCCCGCCACCTTCTCTGCCGGAGGGAGACTCCCCGAGGAGAGGAAGTGAGAACCGCTCCTCTTGCAGCGCCCAGAACGGCGCTGCTCAAACTGCGCCAGAGCCAGTTTTAAAAATCTTATTTACAGCCCACACGGACCAGTGCGTTTGTGGGGTGAAGGGAGCCCCTCCCCGCCTCTGCCAGGGCATTCATTAATGTCTGATCGAAGAGAGCAGGCTCTGTTTAGGTGATCATTTTGAATGGCCTGCAAATGAAGATATAAATATCCAAATGGCCGTTGGCAGAAAAAAGATTCCTCCCCACGCACACACCTGCACCACCACCACCACCACCACCCCACCCCACCCCACCCCACCCCGTGGCTGCCTGCCCTCGGAGCATGGTGTGGGCCACCACGTTGTCAGACCGAAGGGCTGCGGACAGGAGGAAACCCGAGGGGCCGTGAGCAGCCGGAGGGGCCCTACCTGGGGGCTGTTCGGAGCCCAGCTCCTCCGCGGGGGGCTGTGCAGGTGACGCCGAAGGACATCGAGGCCGCGTGCGAGGTGCCCCCCCGGCCGAAGGCCCCGGACGTGGCCTGAGTGACAGCGATGGCTGGGAGGGTGGGGACTCGGGGGGCGATCCAGGCCGTTGAACCTGCTCCTGTGGTGGCGCCGGTGCCAGACCAGGGGGTGAGCTGGGCGGGGTGGGCACAGCGGGGAGCGACACGGGCGGCAGGTCCGCCGGGGAGCGGGGCGGTGAAGGGCCCGGGGCCCCTGCAGGCGGCGGCTCAGACGCAGAGGCAGGGGGCGGAGCGGGGGACTCCACGGGCCGCGCACGTGTGGGTTCGGGGGGCTGTGCAGGCGGGGACACAGGCGGGCCGTGGCCGCCGCTCTCTTGCTCTCTGGGGTCCCGCTGGGTGGGGAGCTGCGTGGATTCCTCCGGACGGGCCTGCTCCGCCCCGGGCTCGCTGTGCCCCGGGCCCTGGCTGCCGAGGGCGAGCTCTATCTGGCAGTACACTTCCACCCGCGGGAAAATCACCCTCCTGGAGGGAGAACTGAGGTATGCAGCATCTAGGAAAAAACAAGCACGGTCACGGGTGGCGTTTCTAACCTCCGACATCAGCGTGTGTTTGCAAAGAAAGCTTTTCCAAGTGACTGTCGTAAGCGGGATTATGGCTCACCAGTGGCCTTTCTTAACTGACAGTGAGTGTTTGACTGTGTTCATCCACGCACCCAGTGGATGTTTACTGAGCATGTCTGTGTGCCAGGCACCATACCTGGCACTGAGGAGGCGAAGGAGGCAGAAACAGGTGTGATGGTCCCTCCCCCGGAGCTTACAGCCCAGGGCGGGAACAGGCCCTGACCTCCCAAATAACCTCTTGTTAATCCAGACAAGTGCTGGGCAGGGGAGGAACTGGCACCAGGAGAGAGGGAGGCAGCAAGGACTGAACTGTGGCTGGAGCCTGGGGGGTAGGGGACCCCTGTGGCTGGGGATGGGGCTGAGGAGCAGGGACCAGATTGCTCAAGGGCTGGTAGGCAGCACTGAGGACTCTTCGTTTCCATGGAGACCATGAAGCCTTCCTGGCAGGGAGGCGCCACCTGCCTCTGGCTTTGACAAGGTCCTGTGGCTGCGGTGTGCAGACTCCCTGACAGGGGCACAGGGGCCAGGGAAGCCCGTCAGGTGGCTGCGGAGCGGTGTGTGGGGCTGGCTCCTGGACGAAGGCAGAAGGAAGTGGAAGTTCTGTTTGGGAGGTGCGTGGATGAGGATTGGAGAGGGGTTGATGGGCAGAGGAGAGGTAGGTGGCTCGCACAGTCTGAAGGATGCTGGCACTGTCTGCTGAGAACAGGCCAAGGGAGGGATGGGAGGGAGAGGGGGTCTCAGGTTAGGAGCTTGTTTGGGGACACGCTGAGTTTAGGGGGCCGTGGAGAGACCCAAGGGGAGACAAGTGGGTGATATGCGTGTGGATTTGGATCCCGGAGGCGAGACAGGGGTCAGAGATACATATGTACAGGGCGGTCCCGGGGGCTGTGTGGTGGCTGTGAGGAGGCTCCCGGGAGGGAGGGGAAGCAGAGTGAGAAGAGGGGCCGGGCTCCAGGCCACTGAGTAGAGGGGCCCAGGGCAGATTTTCTAAAACAAACAGAACTGGGTAGGTTCCAGAGCTGCTTGTCAGAGGAATGGGAGGACATATTTACAAATAGTATTCCTGACAAAGGGCGTTTATCCAGAATTCGTTAATGCTCTTACTTGAGAAACAAGCAATTCCGGTTTTTGAATGGGCCAAGAGCCATCGGCAGGAGCTCCCGACGGCCAGAGCTGGGACAGTGTGAGTGAAACATCAGAGTTGAATAATAACCCAAAGTATAAAACACGTGCCCAGGAGTCCGCACACAAACCAGCCAACGGTCGCGTAAGTGACGCAGGCGAGACCCTCTCCCACGCAGAAGCCGCCCACCCCCGCTATGTGGACGGCTGGGCCTTAAGGACGTGGCGAAGGGCTCCTGGCCTTTCCCGTGTGAGCTGTGCGCAGACCTCCCTCCAGAGAAGAGTTACAGGGGGCGCCGACGGCAGCTGCAGCCGGGGACCACGGTCACGCCGTCAGCGACCGGTCGGGTGGACTGCGGGCATCCCTGATAGAACGTGCTGAGAACGGCACTTCGCCTCTTCGGTCTTCCTTCCTCCAACCCACGACCCCGTCTAATCACGGGGCAAACGTCAGCCAAACCTGCCTGAGGGCAGTCTACGCAGCACCTGGCCAGGCCTCCCCCCCCCCCCCCCCCGCCGCCAGCCACTGAGAACGAGGGGAACCTGAGGGGACATGACGTGCTCTCCTGGGGGGGTCCTGGGTCAGAGGAAGGACATCAGCACCAAGTCAGGAAATCTAAGCTAAGTATAGGTTTTGGTTAATCAGCCTACTGCCGTAGAGCATCTGACAACAGGGAAACCTGGATGTGGCGTGTATGGAGACTCTGTACTGTTTTTATAGTTTTTTAAATATATATTTTATATTTTTCCGAAAATCTGAAACTGTCCTGAAAATAAAGCTCACGAGAGGTGGGGGGGGGGGGCAAAAGAGTTGAACAGACACGTCCAAAGAAGCTATCTGGACCACAAATAAGCTAATGAAAAGATGTTCAACAGCGTCAGCCACCAGGGAAAGGCCAATTCAATCCAGTGAGACACCCTGCATGCCTCTCAGAATGGCTCAGGCGCAACAGACCTGCCACACCAAGTGCCGGCAGAAACTGGGGGACACTGGGGGACACTGGAGCTCCCGTGCACAGCTGGAGAGAAAGGAAAACGATACAGCCTGTGGAAGACCATTTGGTGGTTTCCTAAAAAGTTAAATCTGCATTCTGGGAATATGCCTCTGTCTGTACCTATCCAAACAAGGTGACCATCGAATCTCAAAGAGATAGTTGCACAACCTTCCATTGCAGCATTATCTACAACCGGAGGTCCAATGCACAAAGATTCGTGCCAGAATGAGTCTTCCTTCCCCTGGCTGCCAGCACAGCCTTCACTCCAGCCAGAGCACCTTTCTGCCTTCCCACGCTACCCAGAGGCCCTGAGCGGCTGGGGTGATGCAAAACGCCTGCGTCGTTTCTATGGTGATGACACAAGTGTCCTGCCCTGTGTCTGGCACCTGCATATGCAAATCACCCTCCATCTTTATTGGGTTAGTTTGCATACTCATTCCTGGTTGGCTGGTGGGCATTGTGAAGGTACAGTCAATTAGCATGTTACTCTTTTATTAGTGTAGATAGCCAAGAGGTAGAAGCAACCATATGTCCATTGATGAATAAATGAATGAAGAAAATCCTGTCACATGCTACAATATGGATAAACCTTGAGAACATTATAAGTGAACTAAAGGCAAATACTGTGTGCTTTACTTATGTGAGGGACATAAAATAACCAAATCCCTAGAAATACAAAGAGGAGTGGTGGTGGCCAGGGCCAGGGCCTGGGGGAGGGAGAAATGGGAGTTTGGGGCCAGTAGGCATAGTTTCAGTTTTGCAAGATAAAACGTTCTGGAGGTTAGCTGCACAGCAAAATAAGTATGCTTAGCACTACCGAGCTGCCCATTGCAAGTGGTTGAGGTGGTACATTTATGTTATGTGTTCTTATCGAAATTTTATATATGCAAATTACTATATATAATTATATAATATAACGTAATTATCATAATTATATTTGTAACACATCCACCATGTGATCTAATCATTCCTCTCCTGGGCATTTACCGAAGAGAAATAAGACACATGTGTGAGTATTTATAACAGCTGTATTCATAATAGCCTGAGGTGCATACAGCTTAAATGTTCACTAACAGGTGAATGGCTGAATGAACGGTGGTATAGTCATACAAAGGAATGGAATATAAAAAGGAATGGACTATTTATATCACGCAACGACATGGTGAGTCTTTGAATGATTACGCTGATTGAGAGAAGGCAGCAAAATAAGGTTTCACACTATAACATCCCATTTATCAAAAACTCTACAAAATGCAATTAGTCTGTAATAACAACGTAGATCAGCCATTGCTTGGGGGTTGGAGTTGGGGGTTGGAGGTTGGGGGGAGGGTGAGGGGAGGTGGGAGGGTCACTGAGGGTCACAAGGAGACTGAGCGGGATGATTGTTCACTGTTCTGATGGGGGAGCTGTTTCACAGGGGTGTGTGTGTGTGTGTGTGTGTGTGTGTGTGTGTGTGTGTGTATGTGTATACACATTGAATTGTGAGAGGCAGGGAGGGAGCGAGAAGGAAGAATGGCAGGAAGGAGGGAAGGAGGGAAGAGGGAAGGCAGGTTTAGCTGGGTAGGTCTGGATGCCATGTGGCTACTTGTAGACATGGCGTCCTCTGAGCTCCAACCTCATTCAGCGCCCAGGTGCACAGCCCCTGTTTCACAGGTGTGTGTGTGCGCGCACGTGTGTGTGTGTGTGTGTGTGTGTTTGTGTCTGTGTGTGTTTTTGTGTGTGTATGTCTATGTATTTGTGTGTGCGTCTCTGTGTGTATGCGTCTCTGTGTGTCTGTGCATGTGTGTGTATGTCTCTCTCTGTGTGTCTCTGTGTATATGTCTGTGGGGCTGTGTGAGTAACTCTCTGTGTTTGTGTATGTGTGTGTATGTTTCTGTGTGTATGTCTGTAACTGTGTATTTGTATATGTGTGTGTTTGTGCGTGTGCGTGTATGCATGTGTGTGCGTGTGTGTGCGTGTGTGTATGTATGTGTGTGTGATGTGGGTCCTCAAGCACACGGCAAGCATGCCCTTCCTGTTGGCAGGAGGCGGCTGCAGGGTGGCAGCAGGGACAGTGAGGTGAGGTGAGCCCTGGGGAGGGAGGGGTGACACCTGTGGGTGCAGCTTCCTGCGGAGATGACCACCCTGCGGTGGGCGGGAGGCTGGAGTGGCCTCCCCCTTTCCGGTCCGGATGGCGGGTGGGGATAAACCGCACTGACTCAGGCGGGTGAGTACCCCGCACCCTCTGTGACGGAGGCAAATCAGCCATCTAACCCCCAGGGCTCTGGGCGGGGGCCCCCGCGCTGGCGGGCGGAAGAGGAAGCACCCCGGCCGGAGGCCAGATGAGGCAGCATCTCCTTCAGCGCCTTTCCTCCTGGGCATGGTGCCAGGGCCCGGGGAGGCCCGCCACCTCCACAGGCTGCCAGGACTGGAGGCTGAAATGCAGGCTTTCAGCCTGTGCCAGGGCACCCTCACACCTGCGGGCATGTCCCCTCCAGCTAAGGGGGAGGAGGGGGAGGGCGCTGGGTTCCCCCGAAGGCGGAAGGGTGGGAGAGGAGCTACTGAGAAACGGGGGGCACGTTCCCAGGGCCTGCCCGGAGCGGAAGAGAAGGAAGTGTTTGGGGAGAGACGGGTGTGGAGTAGCCTGGGGCCAGGCTGGAGCTGGGGTGCAGAGGGTCTCCGGGGCAGGGAGACCTGAGCCCTCCCCGGGCTGTGGGAAAACTGGCAGCACCTGGGGAAACGCCCTCTGAGCCAGGAATGCCTTCTCCTGGAAACTAACTCTGAACATGGAGCAGCGTTTTCTTTCCATTTAACAGAGGTGTTTGCCATGACCTTCCTCGTGTTAAAGGGTGTTTTACATGTCAGCAGAATGTCCCTTCCACCAATCACAGAGGAGACACGGGAGCCGGACCACGGCTTCCAAACCAGCCCAGGCCGGCCTCCTCGCTCCCCGTGCTGAGCCGCGTGGCCTCCGGAGTCTTAGATACACACGTACCTGTCGCCTGTAGTTTCTACACTAACAATACGGGTTTTGGAAAGAGAATGAGATGGCATGAAAATGGAAGATGGAGCTATGTATTCCTAAATACAGTTTCTGTAGCCAGAACTGTACCATCTGTTAACCTGATGGTGCCTTTGCCCGGAGATCCTCGTTGCTGGCGGCAGTGGCATGTCCTGGACAATGCAGGTGGTTGGTCCTGCCCCCGCCTCTGGCTCTCCAGGTCACAAATGTTCCCCTACTCAGCTCTCCTACGTCCTGGCTTTGCCCACCCTCCGGGCCTCCCTTCCCCGGGCTCCATGCGGTACTTACTCAGCCTCCGCAGATACATTACAGCATCATCATACCCTCGGTAGTAGTAATTGTGCAGGGCCTGCAAGGCGGGCACAGCAGGAGGAGACTCAGGCTGGGGTACAGCGACAGCGCGGTCCCCTCCCCAGAGCAGCTGCTGTCACTATCGGATGGCTCTTCACACTGTGCCTGACGGTTCCCATCCCTGACTCCCTGCCAGGGTCTGGGAGCAGGTCCCGTGTCCATGGTGACAGACATCAGGGTGCTAACCCTTGCAGCTGCCACCAGCTCCCCTGGCGGGAGATGTTCTCAGCAGAAGCAGGGGAAGTGCATTTGGACGGTATGAAAAACAGTTTGGAGACTGGGTTCAAACCCAGTGCTGCCGCCTACTGGCTGTGTGGCTCTGTGGATGTAACCTCTCACAGCCTCAGTGTCTTCATCTGTAAAATGGGGTAATAATAGCATCTATGGCAGAGGATGCTGAAGGATCGCACGAGATATTGCCCACAAAGCCTCTTCTCTAAAGGGCCAGGTAGTAAATATGTGGGGCTTTACAGGCCTTACATAGTCTGCCATTTGTTGTCGTCATTGTTGTTGTTTTTCTTCTTCTTCTTCTTCTTCTTCTTATTATTATTATTCTCCTCCTCCTCCTCCTCCTCTTCCTTCATCATCATCATCTTTTTTTAGTCATTTATTTTATTTTATGTTTTCTTTTTACTGAATATATTGGGGTGATATTGGTTAACAAAATTATATAGGTTTCCGGTGCACAACTCTACACACATCATCTGTACACTGTACTGTGTGTTCACCGCGCATTTTACAGCCTTTAGCAGTGGAGAGCCCACAGTTAGCTCACCGGCTGTACAAAAACCAGGGGTGACCTGGTTTGCTGACCTGACATTGCACATCAGAGCGGACGTCATCCCATCAGTGACTCTGACATCACCTTATTTCCAGGGGAGGACATTAAGGCTGCAGCCCTTAGGGACTGTTCAAGGCTACACAGCTCATTAGCGAAAAGACCAGGAGGAAGTCTAAGGGAACATTCGAGGGGAGGGAACATGGAAGCTGAGTGGGCCCCACTGGCTTCCCCATTGCACCCCCCACCCCCACTCCTGCCCCCCCCCCCCAGGCCCCTCTGTCTCACCATCAGGTCCGGGGGGAACAGGGCGTGGGTCATCCTGGTGATGTTCTCCAGGGAGAACTGGAAGGAGCAGTTGAACATGCGGAAGTCGTGGAAGATGGCGGGGCAGTCCCGGGGGCAGATGTCCTGCTGGCCGCTGAAGGTGGAGATGGTGATGGCGTCCGTCCAGAAGGAGCAGGGCTGCATGCCCGTGAAGCCGCCGTCGATGTACCGCTGTGGGCGGAGTGAGAAATGCCAGCGGTCCCTCCCCACGCGGGAGGACACAGGACAGCCCTACACCGAGGCCCGGGGCTGAGTGCCGGGCCCGAGGTCACTCGGGGAGCCGGTGGCCTCTGGACTCCGGCCCAGGGCTCCGTCCCTACGGGCTCCCCCAGCCATCTTCCTGGGGCTGCGGAGGGCTCCCAGGCCTCTGTGGGGAGGGGCAGCTACACCCTGGATGAAGCAGGAGCGAGTGCCCCTCCAAACCCCCCTCCCCCCATTACAGTCCCCCCCCTGCCTCCCCCCCTCATCCCCTCAACTGCTGAGGCCAGACGGGAACAGAGCGCCCGTGTCTTCTACTAGTACGTGGGCATTCTGAGTGGGAAAACACGAGAGCCTTTCCCACGCCTGGTCTCCCGGCGGGACTCAGACCCCCCTCCGGTCCCGCTGTCTCAGGCTCAGCCCCTGGCCCGGCCCGCCCACGCCGGGCACTCACTACGCCGCGGTAGGTCGGGGGGATGAGGCCGCAGTACACGGGCACAAAGCAGCTGCAGTACAGGGCCTGCGGGGAGGAGACGCCTGAGGCCCTGGGGCCGGGCACCTGCCAGCAAACCCCGGGCACGCCCAGCCTCGCCTTCCTTAAGCCACGGTGGAGGCCTGCCTTCCTCCCGGGTCCAGCCCCTGTTCCGGCCCTGACCAGCGGGGTCCGTGGCCCCAGCTTTAAAGGGAGAGGGTGACCTCTGTGATCTCCAGGGTCCCTCCCGGCACCAAAGTTCCCCAAACCCAATGGGATTCAACAGCCATCATTGTGCATCCGGCTCGGCCAGGTCCTGACATCAAAGGAGGGTGAGCTGCCCGCCTTGGGAAAGATGCAGGAGGGGAGTGAGCAAGCGGGTGCCGGTGCAGGGTGTCAGGTGCTGTGATGGCGGTGACATGGGCATGGTGGCCCCAAGGAGGAGCACCCAGCTCGGGGGGGAAGGGGGGAGGTTGGGGAGGCAGATGAAGGGGAGTTCCAGCAGGAGTGACTGGAGGCTTCTCAGGCGGGCGAAGGGCGTGAGAATGAGAAGGGCATCCCAGGCGGAGGGCACAGCGAGTGCAAAGGCTGGAAGACCAGCTTTGAGTGAGGTCTAGACAAGGGAGGTGGTAGAGGCTGGAGAGGAAAGTCTTGAAGAGCTGGTGCCAACAAACCCCGGGACAAGAGGTGGTGGAGGAGTATGCATGGGCATGGCCTATTCACTCTCCACCCCAGCATCACGGCCAGGCCAGTGTAGGGGTGTGAGCATGGGTGGCAAGGGCCTTGTCTCCAGAGGAGGGAGGGGGAGGAGAAATATGGGACAGAGCAATGCAGTGTAACCCCTTTGTCATGAAAGAAAAGTGGGTATGCCCCCAGCCCTCCCCAGCGAGAGCAACTCCGCTAAGAGCTGTGCTAATGAGGCTGGAACAGGGCAGCTTTGTGGCAGTTTGCTCTGGTTGGCACAGGTAGACGAGGAAGGTGGTAGAAGGCTGGAGGCCTTCCAACCCTCCATCCAACCTGCCCTTCAACCCTCCAACCTGCCCTTCCCCACTACGCTCCTCAGCCCCGCCCCCGCTCCACAGTTCCACCCCTGCTCCACAGCCCCACCCCCATCCACAGTCCCGCCTCCATCCACAGCCCCGCCCCCGCTCCACAGCCCCGCCCCCGCTCTACAGCCCCACCCCCATCCACAGTCCCGCCCCGCTCCACAGCCCTGCCCCCACCCCACAGCCCCGCCCCCATCCACAGCCACGCCCCCATCCACAGCCCCGCCCCTGCTCCACAGCCCCACCCCCATCCACAGTCCCGCCCCCGCTCCGCAGCCCCGCCCCCACTCCGCAGCCCCCCATCCACAGCCCCGCCCCCATCCACAGCCCCGCCCCCACCCCGCAGCCCCGCCCCCGCTCCACAGCCCCGCTCCCATCCACAGCCCCGCCCCCATCCACAGCCACGCCCAATCCACAGCCACGCCCCTCCACAGCCACGCCCCCACCCACAGCCACGCCCCACCCTGCAGCCACGCCCCCATCCACAGCCACGCCCCATCCACAGCTCCACGCGGGCCCTCTCTTGCCTCGATGAGCTCCTCTTTGGACGTGTACTCGGAAACCACGACGCTCTCCCCGTCGGTGAAGCGGGTGAGGCTCACGTGCAGCTTGCCGGTGGCGGCCTTGTAGGAGTCCTCGGGCAGCGCCTGGTACAGGAACTGCCGCATCATGGGCACCATCCTGCAGGAGGGCGCCAGGGGCCCCAGGAAGGACTTCTTCGTCTCGGCCACACCCACGTTGAGGACGCGCAGGTACTCATCTGGGAGGAAGCAGAGAGGGGCCGGAGGTCAGCGGCCGTGGCCGAGAGAGGGGTCAACGGTGATTTCCCATCTCACCCTGCAGCCAGCAAATAGAAGACCCGGAATGCTGAGGCGGGGACGGGGCCCGCCAGTCCTGCTCAGGAGGAGAGCAGACGCAGTAGACCTGAGTCACTGGCCCCGAGATCCCAGGACAGAGCAGACAAAGGACCCCTTTCCTACCCCAAGGAGCCTCCCCAGCTCCCCTGTACACCTGCTGGCCCCACCAGACGACATGATATTGGAGTCTGAGAGACCTTTTGTCCTGAGACTCCCATCAAAACACACTCACTCCCACACACACACCCACCCCCACACACACACCCCACTGACACAGTGGAAAGCCTTCACCAGTGGCACCTGGGCAGTGGCTTAGTGCCAGCTGCGTCTGGGAGCAGGGAGGGCATGCTGGCCTCGAGGCCAATGGATTTCAGGGAGGGGTGAACTTTGTCCTGAAACTATTGCACCATCTTCCCGGTCTGGCCCTTGGCAGGCCCGAAAGGGAGCAGGTCCTGACCCCGGAGATGGCCGTGCCAGGCTGTCCCACTGGCGCCCAGGAGGGGGACACCTGGTCCTCCTTTCCAGGGCAGCACGGCCAGGGCGGCTGTGCCAGGATGCTCGGCAGGCGAACGTGTTGTTCCGGGGGCCGAAGAGGGGGTGTAAGTTGCCTCCCGGGCCCTGAGAATCCCACCGGAAGCTGGGTTGTGGGCTGGCTAAGGCGTGCGGTGGTGCTGGGAGGCAGGTCTCGCTCTGCATCCCCCTGGTCAGGAAGTGAGGCCCGAGAGGCAGTCTAACTCGCCCCCCGGTCAGCTACATGCTACGTGGACAAAGTGGGATTTTAACCTCGAGTGACCCTGGAACCCATGCTCCTTCCACTAACCTAAGCCGCAGGCTTCCGGGTCGGGCCTGAACCTGCTTCCTGCCCGGTGCTGCTACCTTCCGCCTGGTGGGAGCTCCCTGGGCAAAGCAGGAGTGGAAACGGCTCTGAAAGGCCCGCAAACGTTTTAAACGGACGTTTCATTGTAAACCCTCCCGCCATCAGCACCACGCAGGGATGGCGACTTGGGAAGCTGTGTGGCCGCGAGCTCTCTGCCACTGCCGGGGACCAAGCAGAGGCAGAAAACGCTCCAAGCAGATAGCTTATCAGAGGGACTCCTGGGTGGCCCTTAGGGCTAAGATCCCTTCTAATGCTGCGATTCCTGGCTTTTCACAGAGCCCGACCAGGCCTCCGGGGCGGGATGGCGGTGAACATGGTCTCCGTTTATAAACAGAGCAGCTGAGGCTCAGAGACCTTCAGTGGTCTGCAGCAATCTGGGGACAAACCAAAGCTGGTGATGCTCTCCTCCTCCTGCGTGCTACATCCCCACTGATCCTGGAGGCGGCCACGTCATTTCTCCGCTCTAGAATCAGGGGGACCCTCCGTGTCCTTCCTGAGGCGGGAGAGCCAGGCGGTGTTTGCTCTGACTCCCTCCCACGTCTTTCCCTGGGTGTCGGACCGATCCCAGAGGCTGGGGAGCCTGGGTTGCCATGGTGACAGCCTCTTCTCACCAGCGTGTAGAATCCCAGCTGCATGTGTGCAGGAGGGACTGACCGGAGCGGCAGAGCCTCTCGGCTGTCACCCTGCAGGGGGAGGCCCGCAGTCAGCATCACGGTGTGCCGACTGATTCCAACGCGTCCGCCCTGGAGGGAGGTGGCAGCCGGCCCACCAGCGGGTTATGGAACAGCTGGGCATCGGATCCCAAGGTTGGGGTCACTGAGCTCTCTCCTACAAGACCAGTGGTGGGGGTGGACGCGGGGGGCAGGGGGAACATGCTGCTTTTAGAAATGTTTCTCAATCCTCACTTGAGGATACGTTTTTATTGGTTTTAGAGACAGACGAAGGGAGAAGGAGGGAGGGAGAGAGAGGGGGAGAAACATTGACCGGTTGCCTCCTGCATGTGCCCCGAATGGGGATCAAACCCGCAACCTGGGAATGTGCCCTGATCAGGAACCAGATCGGCAGCCTGTCGGGGTACAGGACCAAGCTCCAACCGCCGGCCGGGCTGCTTTGGAATTCTTTTTTTTATAAATATTTTATTGATTTTGTACAGAGAGGAAGGGAGAGAGATAAAGAGCTAGAAACATCGATGAGAGAGAGTCATCGATCAGCTGCCTCTTGTACACCCCCTACTGGGGATATGCCCGCAACCAAGGTACATGCCCTTGACCGGAATCGAACCCGGGACCTTTCAGTCCCCAAGCCAACGCTCTATCCATTGAGCCAAACCGGTTTCGGCTGCTTTGGAATTCTCAGGGAGCAGCCTGAAGCGGTCACAGAGGAGTGCGGGGAGGGCTTCCCACAATGCCCTGGAGCCAGGAGCACCCTCAGCAGTCTGCCCCAACGCCCCTGGACTCCCGGCAAGGGGAGCTCACGGGCCCGATGGGAGGACGAGGGTTCTTACTGCACGAAAAACACATGTCATTGTGGGCAAATGGTTTTAAGTGCAGATAAGCAAAAGGAAAAAAGGAAAATGACTCGGAATCCCTCCGCCCAGAGATAAACATTTGGTTTCTGTCTTCCTACACTATATATTTTATATTTATTCTTCCTGACAAAATACTTGTATGGAGTCCATCTATTTACATTATTTTTGTTGCTTGCTTTTTTCACCTAATAAACCATGCCTTTCCCATCAGTGAGTACCCGCTAATAACCTCACTCACAGGCAGCAGGGAGTGCTGTGAGGCCATGAGATCACTGACTGAGCAGGCCCTGAAGGAGTTGGCTGTGTAGTTGGTTTCCTTGCTTTCCTCAGCCACGCGGCAATCGATAACCTCCTGCTAAGTCTTTACCTGTGTCCTTCCTTGCTTTCCTTAGCATGGGTGCTAAGTGAAAGGCATGCGCACATTTAGCCTCATAATGCATATTTTGACCATGGCTGTTGTGTGTTATCCATTTACAGTCACCTCAGCTGTTCAGAGAGGGTGGTGGGTGGCAGGGACTGAGCAGTGGCCAAGATAATAGAAATGGCGCCGGCATCTCCGATATACTGTCCTCTGAAAACAGCGCCCCCCGGAAACTAGCAACGCTCTAGCCAGGATCACCTACCCAGGACGGGAGGGGGCAGGAGATGGTCTGGTTTCTCCCACTCAGGTGCCACTTTAATATTCTCCCCTTCTGCTGCGGGGGGGGGGGGGGGGGGGGCTCATACCACAGGGTGCCTTTATCTCCACTTCTCCTTGCTTCCCTTCAGCTCCGTCTGTGTGTCTGTCTTCAGAGCCTCCCCCCTCTCCCCCCCCCCCCCCCCACACACACACTTCTCTCTCTTCCTAGCTGAAGCCAAAGCAGCTAATCTTCTGGTTAACACGTCTGGATGGTAGCAAGTCACTCGGGAATCAGAGCAGTTGCTGGGCGCTGTGAGGAGGATAAATGCAGCTTCTCTGTGATCTCCGTCCCTCCCAGCACCTCCTCCCAGGTAAGGGCTCCTTCCAAGCCGCTGGGCTCGGAGACAGCGTCCCACACGGAGCAGCCGGGCAGGCGGGAAAAGCAGCGCAGCAGGAAACTCAGGCTGGCTGCTCTCACCCCGGCCCACGCTCGCCACGTCCTTTCACAACAGGGTATCAGCTGAGGGTGGTGACGGTGCCTCCCGGCCAGGAAGGAGGCTCTCTGAGGGCCGGTCCTCCCCTCCCTCCCTCCCTCGTGGCCTCCGAAGCCTTGGTTGGAAGCTGGGAGCTCCTCCGGGGCGGGGATGGGCCATGCTCACCGACGCCCACCAGGCCTCCCATCCTCCTGGGGGCCCAGTCATGGCTCCGTGTGTGAACAGAGGAAAACAAGGACCTACAGGGAGGAAGAGCACGTGATGGGGATGCTCACAGGAAGGGCTTCTTGACTTAACGACCCCATAGAAGCTTGAAGGCCAGATGGTCCCAGACAGATGCTGGATAACAGAGTTAGCCTTGGCCAGTGTGGCCCATCCTGCAGGCTTTAGGAATCCGTCCACGGTCCTAAAAGCTTCAGCGGGAAAATAGACAGCCCAGATCCTGGGTCGGGGAGGTTCTGAGGCCATTTGGAAGCCGCTCCGAATCTCAGTTGCTCTTTGCTAAGACCAGACCCATCTCTTGGAAAGAGCTCGGACCTTGAAGCCACACAGATTTGGTTTGAACCCCAGCTTTGCACACACACTATCTGGGCAGCCACGCGACTTCTTCCAGCCTCAATTTGCCACCTATGAAATGGGACTAGTAACACTTGGGTTGCGGGGTTGTTGTGAGGCGGGCATTTTAAAAAATATATATATTTTACTGATTATTTACAGAGAGGGATAGAGAGCTAGAAACATCAATAAGAGAGAATCATCGATCAGCTGCCTCCTGCACACCCCCTACTGGGGATGTGCCCACAACCAAGGTACATGCCCTTGACCGGAATCCAACCTGGGACCCTTCAATGTGCAGGCCGACGCTCTATCCACTGAGCCAAACCAGTTTCGGCGAGGCGGGCATTTTTAAAGTTCCCACACACCAAAGCGCTGGTTGTCAGCAGGTCGGCAGCTCCCAGTGGCCAGGGAAAACCTTTGTCACGTTCCTGCCTTCCAGCTCTCTCCTCTGAACGGGGGCAGTGCTTCCTGCCCCACGCCTTCCTCACCGCGCTGGGCTCTGTGTGGGTGAGGAGAGCGGGTAAAAGCATGTGCGGGGAGGGGTGCGCCGGCCTCAGGCATGGGGAGGGGTGGTGAGTGCAGGAGAGGCAGGGTTGGCCACAGCACTCCGCCCTGTCAATTTGGGGGGCCTACAGATGTAGTTGGCAAGGGGGTGGGGAGAACAACTATGGAAGAGAAGGGTATGAATGATTAGATATGCATTTATCTTATTTATCTGCTAAGTGCTTAGTTTCTCCTCTTTGTGAGAGCAAGGATGGTCTCTGTCTTGTTCGCCCCTTTGTCCTCAGCCCCTGGTAAAGTGCAGGGACATAATAGCATGTAATAAA